GGTAGCTCCAAACCCTTAGTTGCATTTCCGTCAGCACAGCCCACTTGTTTCTCTCCATTTAGGCTGGCCTCTGCCACACCACTACATCCTAGATATTTCTGCATGCTTGCCTCCCCTACATGGCTGCTGAGATGGTTATGTCTTCAGCCAAAGTGTGCTGTCAGTTGGGCGGCGCTTAGTTCTATCTGTGCAGTTCTCAGATGCTGGACATAGCCTTTCTGTTCCCTCTGCCCAGACTGACCCGCAAGAGATGATAGAAAGACCATTTGTCTTGCCGGAGATCTCTGATCACAGCTGGTCATTGCAGACCAAGACTGTCCGCACCTCTCTCACCAGAAAATGGTCTTTTTATTACACAGATTTCTTAGAGGAGGTTTTCCTTATGATCTTGCTGCTCTCTGATTTGATTGCAAGTTCCCTCTGCTCTTATTTTCTGTATTTGAATTTTTTTAAAGCTTTAGAAGTTTTTGCTGTGAAATGCAATACCTACCCTCTGGACTGGCATATTCAGGAGGTGAAATAATCTGATCAGATGTCTAGCTGGTTCTTCTTGCTTTTCCAGATCTCTTGCTACAGTTTTTAGATGGTACCATTTTAAATCTCCTCCTACTGGATTTCTCATCCATTTTCTTTGGTACTTTTCTGTTTTGTCTCATCCTCTCTCTTTTTTACCCTGTCTTGTTTCCTTTCTCCCTCTGCTTTCTCTAGCTTGACACTCTGTACTGCACTGAGATAATTAGAGATGTACTCCATAAAGTGTGGTACCACATCCAAATATGCCCTAGTCTGTTCTGATGCATCTTCCAGAAACCACTAGAGCCCAAGGACTTGTGACCATCTTGTTATTTAATCTCTGTTCTCTTAAGGCTGCTCCAGACAGATTGGATTTTCTTTTGTGAAACCCAAACTCTGTGCATACTCTGGCCTCTATTACTGTGATGCCTGCCACCAGGATGACGAGTCCGTGATTCCATCACGTCTTATCCACAACTGGGACTTGACTAAGCGAGCAGTAAGTTCATGGATGGTCATGGCAATGGTTTAGCTAATCCTTTAAGCATCTTCCCTTCTTGGCAAATAGGACTAGTGCAATCCTTGGATACATGCACAGGCATGTAGGAGGAATAGGGGAGCCAGTTTAACTTCTGTATATGACACTTGTGAAACCCACATTGTTGGGGGGAAATGTAGAAAAACTGGGGAGAGTGCAGAAAATAAGGCATCTGTGCTGCCAACAAAAGCCACAAAAATTATTTGGTAGCTGGGAAAGGACTTGTCATGAAAGACTTGCTGCTTGATCTGTTTAGGTTTATCAAAAGGATTGTGGGCTGAATTGATTACACTGTTATAAAGGCTATTTGATCGGGCAGAAAGGATCTAGCAATAATGGCTGGAAGCTGAAGCCAGACAAAATAATGCATGCATGTTTAACAGTGAGGATAATAAACTGGGATCCTGGTTTTCTCTGTTTAAAAATTGCAACTTCTCTGATTTACAAGGGGGGCATCCAAAATTCTCTGATTTTAAAACCCTCAAATCAGCATTTTCCCACAGTTAAAATGAAATGCGGAGAGAGAGAGAGAGAGATCAGTTGAACACAATATTTTATTGATATATTTACAATTTTAAAGCAATTTGGAAGCTTACCAGTGCCTCATTCATTATAATAAATTCTGACTACCTATATATTTTGGCATTTGATTTTGGCTTCTTTATCATAGGAAAGCAGAGCTCCCCCTGCCCCCTTCACTCACCAGGACACAGGGCCTGCCAGACAACTGCCAGTTGCAGTTGTCACCCCCAGCTGCTTTGTGCGCTGAGCATCCCTGATATGCCAGTGCCCCTCACTCCACACCCACACCTCCTTGCCCCCCAGCCTGCCCCTGCCAGAGGGTGGCCCCAGCTGCCAGGACTATGGGGCCAGGGCCTGCCCCCCACCCAGTCACACGTGAGCCCTGGCTGCCAACCATGGGGGACAGCAGCTGCTGCAGTCTGAGCAGAGTGCAGAGCCCGGTTTTGTTCCCCCACCTTTCCCCTGCAGGCAGCATGGCTGGAGTGGAGCCCATGTTGTGGGGGGATGATGTAAGCTGCCTGCTGTGAGCTTGGGACTCCCTGCCCCTGTTGCCCCCCCCCGGGGGTCTCCGTGGCCCAGCAGGCAGGACCTGGTGTGGGAGGGCAGAGCGGAGTGAGGTGGTTCCATGCCACTGCTGGGAGCCCTGCAGCGCTATGGTGAAGTGCACCCTGCTGCTGCTGGGTGGGCAGGGGGTGCCTCACCATGGCAGCACCAAGCCTGCCTGCCCCCTTTGCCCTCCTGCACTGGGTCCTGCTCACTGGGCCGTAAAGACCCTGGGGGGAGGACAGCAGGGTGGAGAGCACCGAGTCTGCAGTGGGCACCCTGCATCCACCCCAACCCTGTGCACAAATCTGTGGGGCATGTGTCCCCACCATAGCCCCCTCCATGAGAGTGCATGCAGCATCAGGGAGCCAGCTCCCCCTGCTGTGGACAAGTTGCCTGTGACTGTCCCACTCCCTGGCCAGGCTCCGTGGCCACACATTCCTGTCCAGGCTCCATGCACTGCCCTGGCTGAGCAGTGCCTGGAGCCCCAACCTTAGCCCACTCCCTCCCTCCCTCCCTTGCTGTGAAGGGCTCAATCTGCCTCCCTCCCCCTGACTTACCTGCAGGAGCTGCTCTCCACCATGCCTGGCTGCTACATGCATGTGTGTGTGCACACAGGTGCATGACACTCCCTGCCTGATTGTGCTCCACAGGCAGCCCCTTGCAGGCAGGCACCCTGCCAGCCTGCAAAGAGAAACCCACTGTTTCCCATGTTCCTGTCCTTTAAAGGAGAAAAATCTATGGTTTCTCTCCTTAAAAGGATCAAATCTGTTTTTCCACAGCAAATAGAAAACCTGGTTCCCTGGTGATAAACCAGCAAAGCAAACAGCTGAGAGAAGTGGTGGGTTTCCCATCACTGGAGATTAAGGACGCATTAAAGAAAAATAAATTGTGCTTTTTCTAAAGTATATTTGATCCCGTCTCAGAGCACAGGTCCCTTCAGGTGCAACATTTCTGTGATGCAATGAAATTCTCTGGCCTGTAAAATGCAGGAGGTCGGACAAGATGCCCAAAGGTTTAAAATCTTAGTCACCACTTGTCAGTTTCTTCCTCCTGTATGTTTTTCTTGTAGATTTTTGTGTGTGTGAGAGTTCCAAAGCCCATTGAAGGAACTGGAGATCCTTCCAGGAACTGCAGTGCTGTCTGGATTGTGTCCTTACCTATGATTGTTTTCCCTTATGTTTTAGGTTTGTCGACAAGCTTTAAAATTCCTGAATCAGATCCGTAATCAGCCATTGATTGACTTGAAGCTGGTCAATGAAAGTCTGTATGACCACGTGGAAAAAATGAACCGAATCCGCAGGAGCAGGGAACAGCTGAAACTGCTTGGAGATTACTTAATAATGTGTCGCAGCGGAGCCCTAAAGGAGCTGAGCAAACGGTGAGGCCCCTACCTAAGAATTCCCATCCTAGCTGAAGGATGGGGTGTCAATCAAGCCAGAACCACCCCTCTTCCCAAGTTATCATCTTCCCAACATCCACCTGTTTAACATTGTGATTTTTATGATTTAATGTATTACTAGGTCTGGACCAAGACTCCATGGTGCTAAGTGCTGCACCTACACAACAGAAAAGCTGGTTCCTTCCCCAAAGAGCTCAGGGTCTGAGCAAAGGCAGAGTCTCATCTCTTCTCCCTCCCCTTAACTCTCCCCCTTCTCAGCCTAAGGTTGTGAATTGCAATGCAAAAAGACTGTATTGCCTGTACTGCTTAGTTATCCAACCAGGGAGCCAGAACGGATGTGGCTGCTCCTGAAATTTATCTAATTTACTAGATGGAATTGAGTTAAGGGAAGTAGGAATTGTAGGGCTGAATCTTGGCTCTGCCACTGACACTTGTGATCTTAAGTGATTCAGTCGACCTCTCCTATACCTTCTAAACTGAGAAGATGACACTTAGACATGTCACAAAGAGGTGGGAGGAGGATCCATTATTGCTTTCTGAAAACATGAAGTGCCTCATAAATGCCCCGTGTCTGCTGTGTCACAAGACCCATTTCATCAAGCCACGAGTCAAAATCTCCTCTATTCTTGAGCTAGATAGGACTGGAATCTGGTCATCTATGCAGATCTTAATCACCTTAATACAGGGTTATCTTGCAACTTGGGTGGGTTGCAAGCTGGGCTCTGGTTACAACTGCTGTGGCTGTCCTGGAGATGGGCACTGCTGCTGAAGTTCCCTCTGTCTGGCCTGCTAGATGAGTTTTATTTGTTTATATCACAGTCTTTCACAGTACCAGCCCCATCCAAAGCTCTGGATGAAAAGCCAGAAATGCAGGGAATGCAAAGCAGCACCATCTCCTCCTACCCACTTGTTGTTTAATCCTCAGTCACATGACTGATACCACTAAAAACTCCAGCATGCACTTGCCCACTAGAAAGAGATTCCACCCTCGCAGCATTAATGGCTTTTGCAAGTTTTGAAACGTCTTTTGAGCCAGTTTGCTAAGGACATAAATGCTTTTCTTTTTTTAACTCTTTCTATCTTAAGTGAAGAGTTATTATGTGTCAGTCTTGTATGTCTGCATATTAAAAGATGCAGGAAGAGGAATGCTGACGACACTAAGATGTGGGGGGATGTGGGCACGTTAGAAGGAAGGAATAGGCTACAGTCAGACCTAGACAGGTTACGGGGTGGGCGGACGAGAACAGGATGAGTTTCAACACCGACAAGTGCAAGGTGATGCACCTGGGGAGGAAGAACCAGCAGCATACCTACAGGCTGGGGAACTCCTTTCTCGTCAGTGCAGAGGCAGAAAGGGATCTTGGAGTCATCATTGATGCCAAGTTGAACATGGGCCGGCAGTGTGGGGATGCAGTCAGGAAGGCCAACCGCACCTTGTCGTGCATCCGCAGATGCATCTCGAGCAGGTCCAAGGAGGTGATCCTCCCCCTCTATGCGGCACTGGTCAGGCCGCAGCTGGAGTACTGCGTCCAGTTCTGGGCGC